GGGTTAACGGCTCGGATAGATCCTGCGCGGCGTCCGACAGACCCTTGGTTCAACCCATGTGTTTACAGTTCAACATGTGTGCTTACAATGTGAATGAGCCATTGGAAGTAAGCCATATGAGACTTTTCCCATCAACTTGAAGCCGCGCTCATGAGTAAGTACTGTGAGCTTCTAACCACCATCAAGGTCTCAGATCCCAACGCGCAGCATTGGCGTAAGAACAAAGACTCGGTTCCCAACTTCTCAAGCCACGTTCTTAACCTAGTTGAACTCACGGCGGTGGCCCCATTGTAATAGCATGGGGAAACGGCTCAGTAAAACGAACCTCTGGTCCGGCGTCTTTTTCATCCCGTTTCACCGAGCAGTAAAATGGTGACATTTCTTTCCTTTGACGCAACCAATGGTCTTTGTCGGGATGAAAGGTTTCTCTCCCTCTATGCTCGGTGGGGGAAACCTTTTATCCGGACAAAGACTGTTTGTTTCAACAAAGGAAAGATTATCTCCGATTTTACTGCTCAGTAAAATGGGGTAGAAAACATTTCGGACCAGAGGTTCATTTTAGTGAGCCCTTTTTCTTGCGGTATTACAACCGGGCCGCAGCCGTGACTCGAAGCGACGAACTGAATCTCCTGCACTAATACAGTACCGAAAGCGAACGTGGCGAACGCGTCTTGAACTCCAGTCACCTTTGGTTAAGTTCGGGTTCGAAGCTCGGCGTTCGAATAGCTTGAGCTTTATAGCCTTACAAAAGTTCTTTTTTGTCAAGGCGGAGAGCGGAGTGGGACAGGTACCCCCGCCCTGAGTCTTGTGTGGTGAAAGCGAACGTGGTTGACGTGTTAACGCGTCAACACAAGCCACCCTCGGTTGGGTTCGGGTTCGATTCCCGGCGTTCGAATGGGGCGTCGGGTAGAAAGTTTTTTTCCATCGACGCGCAGCCTGAGAAGCCAAGCTCGCACTCCCAATTTCCAGCATATAAACGCGAACGTGGTTGATTATTGAGGTCAACCAACTCACGATCAAGCCCCCTCTGCGAGCAGTGGGCTCGGGTCCGGGTTCGATTCCCGGCGTTCGAATACGTATCCAGTATTGCTCGACGATTTTTTTACCATCGACGCGCAACGGCGCACTGAAGCCAAGCTCACCTGGGTCCTCCGAATTTCCAGTACCAAAAGCGACCGTGGTTGATTATTAAAGCCAACCAACTTATTGCAATTTTCAAATATAATGGCACTCGGCGAAAAAAAAAAAAGTTTGAGTTGAGTGAGGGTGCGAGTTCGAGCCGAGGTGCCGACCGCATTTCCAGAATAAACACCGCACAACAACGCGTCGATTTCGTCGCGCTAGCACATTCTGCTTCTGGAAAGCACCTGCACAACTAGGAGGTGTACTGTGGGCATTCCCCATCCTAGATAGGCAAGCCCAAGGCATGATAATTGCAGAAATCAAGAGTAATTTCATTGTTTTACTGATTTCGCCCTGCAGACCGTTTTGACAGCCAAACTATCTGTAGAGCGACTCAAACTGGGGAGTCTTCGTGGACAGCAACAATAGGCATACTCAGTTGTCCTTGTGAGAGGTATCATCCATTCTTCTGGGTCAAGTGGGCTGTGGAGTTCTCGAACTATATTTTTTTACTTAGAGTGAGAAATGGCTCTTGTGTGTGTGTGCTTTAGAGCCCATGGAACATAAGGCAGGACTTACGTAGTCACCTCAAGGGAGTGAGACCTCAATTGGATACCTGAACACCTTTTAAGGGACATCACCTTGCACTTTGAAGCGAGGTCAATTATTCCCTTGTTTGCAACCAGAAGAAAGAGACGGGACCCCTTTCAGTCCATGGGCAACCTGGTGAGGAGCATCAAGGATGAACCTTCTCATTTTCGAGCGAAAGAACCACGCAGCTACCTCAGGATGTGCTAGCGCGACGAAATCGACGCGTTGTTGTGCGGTGTTTATTCTGGAAATGCGGTCGGCACCTCGGCTCGAACTCGCGCCCTCACTCAACTCAAACTTTTTTTTTTTTTTCGCCGAGTGCCATTATATTTGAAAATTGCAATAAGCCACCTCTGCGAGCAGTGGGCTTCGATTCGGGTTCGATTCCCGGCGTTCGATTTGGGCGGTTCCGTACGCTTTCTTTTTTTTTACCAGGAGGCGGGCGGAGTCGCTTCGAGACGGCGCCGGGAAAGCGTGTTCAATTTCCTAGCGTAAATTCAAAGCCTCGTGGCCATGAGTCTCTTGACCTTGGTGCGTAATACTACTATATTATCATTAGTCCTCAGTCCTCTGTCCGCCGCTCTAAAAAACATCTTCCGGTTTTGGATCATAAGCCCTGAGGGAATCGAACCCCCGACGCCGACCTAAGGAATTACCCACACTGGATGGATCGTGCGCGCCGTCCGACAGGCCCTTCATTCCCATGGATTTACAATTTACAGGTAAACATTCGACATTGAACCATTCATTGGATTGGATTGAAGAGGTAAGTAAGGTAAGGTAAGTACAATTGATTGTGAATTCAGGTCAGCAGGGTGGAGAGCAGATAGATAGATACAGTGTGGAAAGCGGTAATAAGTGGTAAGTGGTAGATAGGTACATGTGCGAGTTGCTTGGGTTGGGAGGGACTGAGTGAGCGAGTAACTGATGATTAGTATGATAGGGGGCAGCATGCGACGTGGGACAGTGGGTTGATAGCGAGTCGAGAAACAAAGAGACGCACAGCACCATGGCCATCCATCCATCACCACCTCCCATCCCCCCCACCCCCACTATGGCTATTACTCCTCGCCCTCGTATTACCCTTCCCAAACCCAAACACGCGCTTGAGCAGCGGCACAGGCTTCTGCGGGCCCAACGCGTTCTCCGGGAACACGGGCGCCAAGCCTATCAGCGGCGACGCCGGCGCCCCCGGACTCGCAAGTGGCGGCGGCACACTGTGGAACACGTACCCCTTCTGCCCCGGCGCGGTAGCGTACGGGTACGTGTTCCCGCGCACAGGCGACGGCGGCGCGCCGCCGGAATACGTTCGCAGCGGCTGCGGCGCCGCCGTGGCGTACGAGTTTGACCGCGAGCGGCTGTGCTGTGGGCGCGGCGGGACGGGTGGCGGCGGCAGCGGAGGGGAGGCAACGGCGTAATACGCGGCTCCTGGCGCGTAATACTGGGGTTGCTGTTGGCCTGGTGGCGCGTAGAAGAGCGGACTAGGCCCGGGCCCTTGGACGCCGTAGACGTCGCCCCGCGGTGGCGCCGTGCGCGGGCGCGTGGGTGGCGGCGCCATGCTGCGACTGCGCAGGTTGCGCTCTGGGGGTGGTATGGGTGGGAGTGGCGGCGGCGGCGAGAGGCTGCGCTTCCGCGAGCGCGAGCTCTTGCGCGGCTTTTTGTCTTTGTCGTGATCCGTCGAGCGCGAACGGCGGTGGTGTTTGGAGTCGGGTAGGGGGATGGGCTGGGCGTCGGCGGGCGTAGCCGGGGTGAAGGGGTTTTTTTGAGGAGCGCGGCTGGCGTTTTGGCTCCAGGTGCGTATACGCTCCTGCCGCCCCAAATGTTCTTCGAACGCCTGCTGGCTGAAGTCGTATTCCGTCATTTCGAAGCCCCCCAGCCGTCGCCTAGCGTGTAAGAAGCCTAATTTCCAGAAGGATTACGGTTGAGTGGAAATTCCGGGCGCAGAAAGCTGGTGGAGGACGCGGGGGGTTGGGGGGAGAAGGGACATGGACGGTGGGGACACAAAATTTTTATAACGGCCGCCATCATCCCACGTGTTTGGGTCCGCTTGATGATCCGCGGTGGCAATTCAGGATTTCCTTGCCGTTTTCGGTACAACCCTTGTCCTTTTGTGTACACCCTTCTACTCTCCCTTGTTTTACCTGGATCGAGTCAAAGGCCACACTATCCCTTGTGCGACGACGCCCAGTCACTGCCAGTCACTGCCCCCGTACTTATCGCCGTGACATCTCCGTCGTGCCTGACTCAGTTCAAGTTGCCCGCAACCCTAACGTTTCCCCGCTGGGCTCCCGGCGAATTTGAATGAATGAATGACGCGTCCAATACATAAAACGACTCTCCCTCACCATCGACGCCACGCCTCGCCCCCACCACGTTCTCGCAATCATATCGGATCCTGCTAGCCATATAGGATTGAATCCGCCATTATTCCTCATCGATACCCTCGACCCACGCTCTCCCCACGCATCCCTGAGCCTGCGGCCCTCCCGTAAGCCCTGCATTCCATTCCAATCAAAACAATCCCCAAAACTACGTATCTAATCGCCGCTGTTGCTGATGGAGACATCGATACAAATCCGCCTGCGAGTCCGACCGTCGGCTATATCCGTCCGATGTCGCCATCGTCCCGACATCCGTTCATTTAGGCAGGGATCTTCCGTCCATTTAGGCGTTGTTGCGTTCGCACTTGTCCTCTTTGGGGTCTCTTGGAGCATGCACCGCATCGATCTGCGCCCGCCTTCCAATCCCAAGTTGAGTCAAAATCAAAAGGTTTAGGCGCCCGGAGGCGCTCATTCGATGCCCGCTGCCAACCGTGGGATTATCCCACCCCGCGTTTCACACCCCGCCGTTGACTCAACCGGTGTCCGAGTTTACTGACATGTTTCATTCAATTGCGGTCGTCCAAGGGGAAATGATAAATCCAGCACGAAGGACGGTCACTACACAATTCAACGATCGGACGTCGACCCGCTCACAATGATATTGAACATGGTGTGGTTGTGGTTTGCGCCGCCTGGGTTCGATTCCCAGCGTTTCAGTGACGAATGAGGGAGTCATTTTTGCACTCCTGGCCATCCCCAACTCGTGCGTTTTTACGATACAAATCATTACTGCACCGACTCAAAACCCGCAAACCGCATACAACCGGTAACCGACCTCGGTTTCCCACGGTTCATCAAACCACCTCCTCCAAGTCGTGTGAATTCTACGTACGTAGATAAGTTAAGTATGTACCTACCTACAAATGTGGTTGTCTATCGATCGACATCCAAAATAGAGTGAAATAATCGGACGTCGTGCACGGCGCACACCCGCTCCCTATAAAATTCAGTTTCGTCAGTGGAGCGCGGGATTCTTGGGTTCGACTCCCAGCGTTCGAGTACGCCGGAGACCTGTTTCCTTCTTTTCTACTCGGGTCCCGAGAGCTCTTTGCGGGTCCTTCGATTGGCATTTCCACACGTCCGAGTCTTCGAAACAAACGAAATTCGGATGCAACTGAGCACATTCAGTTTCTCAGGATTCAAAGACATTGATTGAGAATTGTTTCTTACCAACCGAATTCCACAGCTGATTAGAGAGTCCGAACGTCGTGCACGGCGCACACCCGCTCCCAATACAATGTTCTCTTCATTGGACTGCGGGATTCCTGGGTTCGACTCCCAGCGTTCGAGTAAGGGTATGTTGAGGCTGGACTTGATATTTTCGTCTTGTTTTTCAACAATCCGCAAGTCCTTGCTAAAATCTCACACTTTATACGAGAAACAAGCGTCTCTGGCAGGCATTCGGAAAAGGTGGACTCGAAGGATGTTATGTACCGACACGGTTCATCTACCACTCCAGTTGAAACTTGACAGGATTGCTGGTACGTATTGGCTACATACAATCGGGGGGTACGGATCGCACGTCGTGCACGGTGCACACCCGCTCCCTATACATCCACTCGTTTGTTATTTGTGGACCGCGGGCTCTGAGTCTGACTCCCAGCGTCCGAATAGTACAGAAGGTGATCTTTACTTGAGCTTTTTGCCATCCTCACCCTGTGCTCTGCGATACCGATGTCCGCAAATCGTTCGGTCTCCAAAATTCAAATCCAACCAGTAGGTTTCCCACGGTTCATCAAACCACTTTCGAGTTATATCAATTCTCGGTATGCAAGTACAAATGTTGTTGGTGGTCTATCGACATCCGTAATACAGTGAAGAAATCGGACGTCGTGCACGGTGCATACCCGCCCCCTATAGTAATTTTTCTCTGCACTGGACCGCGGGCCTCCTGGGTTCGACTCCCAGCGTTCGAGTAGGAGTTCTGGCTCGATACTAATGGCGGTGGGGTAAATTAAACAAATAAAGATAATAAAGAGCAATAAAAAGAGGAGAGATTGGCAATCATCCGAGTGATCTCGGTATGGTATTCTGGATACCACCATTTCACCTTGTCCATGTTCAAAAACCGGTTCACTTCCCCTGAAAAATTTGGACCCCCCTCAACGATTTATTTCAAAATTTTCTACCTACTCAGAATTAGTATCCGCCAGGAGGACGGAGGGAAAACACTAAAATGGGATACCAACAGGATACCACTCTGCTGGTTCCGGGCGGAGTTTGATCTCGGAACAGTTGGCAACCCGCCTTTTTGAAGCCGGCTCCTCTCGTTCCTTCCTGCGGCGCCGCGCTCGTTTCAATCATGTCTCCATTTTGGGCATTGGTTTCCTGTAGTGAATGCCCTGCATTCCTGACCATTTTCGCTTCAAAATTTGGCCTGCCGGCGGCGGTGACTTTCCCAACTTTGAGAGTTTCCCACTGTTGAAAGATATTCGCACAGGCTTGATTTGAGATGTGCTGGATTGAGCTGCCGGTATCCCTCTGGGACCTCCCTTGTGTCTGTAGACAAGTGAGTGTCTTGTGATTCTTGATGGCTTACCTTTAACCAGAGGGTTGAACTGTTGAGTTCAGTATCGCTGTGTGTTTTGTGTTGATGGGAGTGCTGGTTCTCAGCAGAGGTGCAAAATCTGTGTGTAAGAAACCATGTTGATTCAAGCCTGCTACACTCTCCCACTGATCTTTTGGTTGAGGCCAAGATTCATACAACACCATATAAAAATTTTGAACCACACCCACCGTTGCGCCTATATAGCCCGAATTGACCACAGCCTATAGAGACATCACTATCATCCGGATTCTGAAGCTCCCCCCTCACAGTGGCGTCTCAACGAAGGGATCTCAAATATATTCCCGCGTGCAAATGAGAAGGATTTCGCTCGGAATCGAACTCGTGCACATCAAAAGCATGGCTTACTGAATTCAAACTCCGCTGGTATCTGGTATCTGGTATTCCCAACCGCCACCAGTATCGAGCCGGAGTTCGTTCTAGCCACCGCCTTTTTGCCTTCGATGTCTCGGTCGATCACTGAAATTCAAACCGAACCGGTAGGTTTCCTACGGTTTCAAACTGCCGTCGAGTTGTATAAGTTCCAGGTAAAGTACCCACAAATGTGGTTGTCTATTGACATCCCAGACACAGTTAAAAACTCGGACGTCGTGCACGGCGCACACCCGCTCCCTATACATCCACTCGTTTGAACTTTGTGGACCGCGGGGCTCTGGGTTCGACTCCCAGCATCCGAATGGAACAGATGTTTGGTTTTAGCTTCTTGCCCTCCTCACCCTGTGCTCTGCAACGCCTATGTCTGCAAGTCCTTCGATGTGCGAAGTTCAAACCCAACCGGTAGGTTTCCAGTTCATCAAACGGTGCCTTCAAGCTTCAAGGTTGTGTAGATTCTGTACCGTTGGCTATCGACATCAAGGATACAGGAAAGTAATCGGACGTCGTGCACGGTGCACACCCGCTCCCTATAAAGTTCTTTTCGTCGCTGGACTGCGGGATTCCTGGGTTCGACTCCCAGCGTCCGAATGAAACAGACGGGTCGTTCGCTTTTTGCCCTTCTCACCGGGTGCTCTGCGACACAGATGTTTGGAAGTCCTTCGATCTCTGAAGTTCAAACCCAGCCAGTAGGTTTTCCACGGTTCATCAACTTTCCACCGTCGAGTTGTATAAATTCCAGGTAAAGTACCCAGAAATGCGGTTGTTGTCTATCGACATCCGAGATACAGTGAATAATTCGGATGTCGTGCACGGCGCACACCCGCTCCCGATAGAATTTGTTCTCTCTTGCGGACCGCGGGACTCCTGGGTTCGACTCCCAGCGTTCGAGCTAAGAATGTGGGAGCAGTTACATTTTTTGCCCAGGCTCGGCTTCTAGTAGTAATCCTCGGGCCCTTCGCCAACTGGTATCATCACGATACAAAGTCCTCCCAGTCCGAGTCTTCGAAACGAAATCCGGATGCAACCGGACATACTGATGTACTTACCACAGTTTCGCACGGTTCATCAAATGCCTTGGTTGAAAGAAAATTCCCTCGCTACTGCCTATTGACAGCCCCAGCTGGAGCTCAGGAAATATCTCGAACGTCGTGCACGGCGCGCACCCGCTCCCAAATCCACGGCTGACCGTGCTAATTTGCGGGATCTGGGTTCGACTCCCAGCGCTTGAATGACGGCGGATCCAGGGGATATCCAATTTTGCTATTGCTACTCACCGGCGCCTCCCGTGTGCTCTACAAGCGCACAACCAAGTAGATAGATGCCTTCCAAGATGAGACCCCCGGCGCACTCCATCAACTCGCACACGCATGATACAGAAGCCGGCTGATACCGCACTGTCAACCCAGCTCCGTAATCCGGATCCACCGGCGGATGTCAAGTTCCAACGGCTCAATTGCCCTGGTTTAGAGAAATCCCTCACTACTGCCTATTGACAGCACCAACTTGAGCTCAGTAAATATCTCGAACGTCGTGCACGGCGCGCACCCGCTCCCATTATCCAGGGCTGAATGTGCTAATTTGCGGGATCTGGGTTCGACTCCCAGCGTTCGAGTGAGCAGGCGTGAAGCTAGTCAGTTTTTTGCTGTCTCTGGAGTCCAATAGTTACCGGGGCCGTCCAGGAAATTGCTGCAAGCTCAAGTCTTCGTATGCCTCACCTAACCATAACTCTGCACACCTCATTCATACTCGATGCACCCGAACATGGTTCATCAAAGCTTGGTTGAAAATATTACTTGGCTATTAACGTCGCAGAGGATAAATAACTCGGATGTGGTGTACTTGTTTACACTTTTGGCGAGGGAGAGCCGTCAAGACTCGGAGAGACTAAAATGTTACTATGTATGTGTTATACTTATATTGGGCAAGGAAAACTTCGAGTCGGGATTGGGGTCCATATAAGCTGTCAGTAGTGAGATGATTGGACGCCTGCAGAGCTCGGGTGTCATTTCCTGAGTCTTTTGGATACGTTGAGCCTTGAATCAATTATTTCTCTTCCCAAGAACACAAAACATTCGTTAAGGCCTCAAGCATGTTGCGTTCAATCTTGACTCGAAAAAGTTTCAACAACATGATACATGAACACCGGGTTCGGAAGCAGAACATAATTCAAGTCTGAGTGCGTAAAAAGTAACTTATTGAAAGTAACTTTAACTTTACTTGCCCGCGTCGGCATACGTGCCGAACGTTAACTTGAGTTTTCCCACGCATAGAGAAACTAACTTATTTCGAACTCCGCCACGGCCATGCTGCGCCCCCTTCGGAAGCACCCAGTCCCTCTCGCAGTCGATGCACAACCAATCCTTGGACCCTAACTGTGGTCTTACGACTCTTCCTCCGCAGGTTGTGGGCTTATATTGTCTTCCGCCTTCCGCGCAGCTGGTTGAAGTACCGGCGGTGGATGTTAGGATAATTATAGGCCACATATGTCTGCTGAATGTGAGATTTTGAGTCATTCCTGACATTTGTGCTGAAAATCAGAACTCAACTCAATGTAACGGCGGCATCGTGGTTGCATGCACAGGCATTGCGTAGATAGCAAAGTGGGCGAAGGTGAGCACTACAGTCACTGAAAGTGACGAAGGAGACTCATTAGCCTTGTCCGGTGTTCAACCCCAGACTCACTGTTGTGGGGTACTATAGCCTCGAATTGGCCGGGTCAGTCAGTCCATACGGAAAACCCCATCGGAAGCCCATACTCATTTAGCTATGCACAAGTTTCGGCTCCCAATAATTCGAAGATCAGAAGGTGGAAGCCGTGCAGAATACGGGAGGGGATGTGCGAGTGAGACTGTAGGGGAAGTCAAAAGCCAACCGTGGGAATTCGATCGGCCGCCTCGGCGTGGTCCAATTTCGGATTCAACACTGCGTCTACGTTGCTGTTCACCTTGCTAAAGCACCGACACTTACTGATTTTGTGACCAAGTAGGACTTTGCTGATGTTCAAGAGCATCTAAGTCTTGCCCTGTGGAATGGGGAGTCTAACTAACCCAGATGAACT